AGCACAGCGGAACGGACAGACTTGTTCCTTCACTGCACACCTGAAGCTAATGCAACATCATGTGTCAACTATACTTTAATTTAAAAAAAATAGGGGCGCCTGCGTGGCTCAGTCGGTTAAGCATCCAACTTCGGCTCAGGTCATGATCTTGCAGTCTGTGGGTTCGGGCCCTGCGTCGGGCTCTGTGCCGACAGCTCAGAGCCCGGAGCCTGCTTCAGATTCCGTGTCTCCCTCTCTCTCTGCCCCTCCCTCCCTCCCTCTCTCTCTCAAAAATAAACATTAGACATTTTTAAAACCATAAAACTGCCTCAAAGAAAGGCAGTCTAGGGTCAATACAAGGACCAGGAGGGTGGGGAGGGGAGGCTGATGTCAGCACAGAGACTGGCCATCTCCCCCCAAGGCGGCCAACCTACACAGTGCGAGCGTGCTTTGCGTACGACGGCTGAAAAAGCGGGTGCACACCAAAGAGGTGGACCCCGGAGGGACCCAGTCTCTCTCAGAGGGCCTCTGTGGCCCTGCTGGGATCGGATCTCCAAGGCTCCTCCTGGCAGGGGACGCACCCTGTTAGGCTGGGCGGGAACTGTCTTCCACTGTGACACCGTGTGACAGCAACAAGCAATGCCAGGAGGGGCTGATCAGATTCCAGGTCCTACGCTGCTTGGGCTTTCCAAAGAGGACTAAACCCCTCTGCCCTGAGTAGTATCCTGAGAATTTAGAAAACCAGGGGAGTTCAGACTGGCTACCTATAGGGCAGGAGGTGTTTGAGGGAGCCATTGGAGTAAATAAAAGAGGTGGGTACCCTGGTGGGTGGTACAATAGGGCCCTGGCTGACAATGAGACTCATTCTGGCTCCATCGCTGAGTGGTCCCGACCTGTCACTTCATTTTGCTGAGCCAACACAGTGGGAGTCTCCAGATACATACCAAAACTGACACCCAAACACACATCGTAATTTAAAGGTCCTTTTCGGGGCACCTGGGTGGCGCAGTCGGTTAAGCGTCCGACTTCAGCCAGGTCACGATCTCGTGGTCCGCGAGTTCGAGCCCCGCGTCAGGCTCTGGGCTGATGGCTCAGAGCCTGGAGCCTGTTTCCGATTCTGTGTCTCCCTCTCTCTCTGCCTCTCCCCCGTTCATGCTCTGTCTCTCTCTGTCGCAAAAATAAATAAACGTTGAAAAAAAAAATTTAAAAAAAGGTCCTTTTCAAAGGATTAATTTCTGTTTTTAAAGGCAGTCCATTAAAGGGGCGCCTGGTGGCTCAGCCGGTCAAGCATCGGACTTCAGCTCAGGTCATGATCTCACGGTTCGTGAGTTCGAGCCCCACGTCAGGCTGTGCGCTGA